CTGAAGGGGAGGAGCCGGTTCACCTGTGCAAGACTGAATGGGAGGAGCCGGTACACCTGTGCAAGACTGAATGGGAGGAGCTGGTACACCTGTGAAAGAATGAAGGGGAGGAGCTGGTATACCTGTGCAAGACTGAAGGGGAGGAGGCAATACAACTCTGCAAGACTGAAGGGGAGGAGTCGGTACAACTCTGCAAGACTGAAGGTGAGGAATCGGTACACCTGTGCAAGACTGGAAGGGAGGAGCCAATACAACTGTGCAAGACTGGAGGGGAGGGGCCTGTACACCCGTGCAAGACTGAAGGGGAGGAGCCGATACACCTGTGCAAGACTGAAGGGGAGGAGCCGGTGCATTTGTGCAAGACTGGAGGGGAGGAGTCGGTACAGCTGTGCAAGACTGAAGGGGAGGAGCCGGTCCCCCTGTGCAAGACTGAAGGGGAGGAGCCGGTACACCTGTGCAAGACTGAAGGGGAGGAGCCGGTACACCTGTGCAAGACTGAAGGGGAGGTCGGAGGTCAGATTTAAAACCTGAATTTGAAGCATTTTATCAAGTCAGACCAATTCTAATTTTTAATATTTACCTGAATGCGCTTGTGTTGGTTTGGCCGCCGTCACAACAAAGCGGCGTCTGTGGCCGAGAGTAAAGCGATTGGGAGGATCGGCTGAGCCCCGTTGTGTCCTTTGTACAAATGAGTGACGGTGACATTTGCATGAATTCAATCTTGTTCTTAAATCCTTCTACAAATAGGATTACATGGTGGATGATTCACAGGCTGCGCTGAGATAATGCTCCTGCCTGATCCCCGCTCCTTCCACCGAGCTCCGCCGAGCACATTGGGGTGGTAGTTCATACAAAGCAATCCAAGATCTAGAAACTGAAATGCATCAATGCAAAAAAACAAACAAACAACCCCCCCCCCACTCCATAACCTGTACATTTTCATTAAAAAAGAGCTAAAAACATATCTTTTTGCTTTAGATGCCACTTTAGGCCCCTTTCACGCAGGCGTTCCCTATGTCTGTTTTTCTTCTGTCCGTTTATGGATGAAAAATGGACCCCCATGTATTTCTATGGACTACCGGATGTAAACGGGTGATTGTCTGTTTACATCCATTGATATCCATTAACAGCACAAACACTGCTACAGGGCGGCAGGGCTGCACAGAATCACACACACACATATATATATATGTGATTTTGTATTTCCGGGTGGGGCGCACCCTACCTGCGATGCCATTTGCGGCTACAGCTGTCAATTACCGGGTCTCAGCCGTTGATTCCACGCCGGCACCCGGAGATCGACGACTATCACTGACAGGGGAGAGGTCTGTATCTAAACAACACAGACCTCTCCCCTGTCAGCTCCTGCACATTACTTTGTATCTCTCTGCACAGCATGTCTCCCTAGTAAAACACACACAGCACACAGTTAACCCTTTGATTGCCCCAGATGTTAACCCCTTCCTGCCCAGTGCCATTAGTACAGTGTCAGTGTTTTTTATTAGCACTGATCACTGTATTGGTGTCAATGGGGATGTCATTCACGGCTGCAGCTGTCAATCACTGGGCCCCGGACGGTAATTACCCACCGGCACCCGGTGATTACCGAGCATCTCCGACGGGGAGGAGAACTGTTTTGTTTACTATTAGTCCTCCTCCCTGTCAGCACACTGCACAGCACAGCCATCCGGATCAGTGTGCTTACAGTGAAGAACACCCCCGCCCCTTAGTAGAACACTCCCTGCACACACAGTCAATCCTTTGATCCTTTATAAATACTGTATAATAATAATAATAAATCGCCCCTCACATTAACCCTTTCCTGCCCAGTGCCATTAGTACAGTGTCAGTGCTGTTTATTTACATTGTATTGGTGTCACTGGGGATGTCAGTGACACCAATTCAGTCCCCCCCCCAGTGTCAGAATGCCCGCTGCAGTCCCACTATAAGTCGCTGATCATTGCCATTACTAGTATAAAAAAAAAAATTTAAATCCCAGTATCTATACCACCATTTATAGACGCTATAACTTTCACGTAAGCCAATTAATTTACACGTATTGGGATTTTTTTTTCAGCAAAGACACGGAGCAGAATACGTTGCCCTAAATTTATGACGAAATTTGATTTTTTACATTTTTTTACTGGACATGTTTAATAGCAAAAAGTCACAAATACTGTTTTTTTCCTAAAAATTGTTGGTCTTTTTTTTTTATAGAGCAAAAAAAATAAATAAAAGCCGCACAGGCCGAAAGAAAGCTCAAATGACTTTGAACGTGACATGATTGTTGGTGCCAGACAGGGCTGGTCTGAGTATTTAAAAAACTGCTGATCTACTGGGATTTTCCCACACAACTATCTCTAGGGTCACAGAGAATGGTCCAAAAAAGAGAAAATATCCAGTGAGTGGCAGTTGTGTGGAGGAAATGCCTTGTTGAGGTCAGAGGTCAAAGGAGAATGGGCAGACTGGTCCCAGATGATAGAAAGGCAACAAAAACACATGCCAATATGGACCCAAATCTCTGAGAAATGTTTCCAACACCTTGTTGCATCTAAGCCATGAAGAATGAAGGCAAAAGGGGGTCCAACCTGATACTAGCAAGGTGGACTAAATAAAGTGGCCAGTGAGTGTATATTCAGTGTATATATATATATATATATATATATATATAGTATATAACATGTTTGGGGGCTCTATTATTCTAGCAAAAAAAAAATGCAGATTTTTGAATGTCGGAGAGAGGTATCAGAATTGGCTCAGTATTGAAGCAGTTAAACAAAAATAATGAAAAAAAAAATGTGAAGATGAGAAGATTTTATGTTTGTTGTGTCTATTCTTCTACAGAATGCAGATGAACCTTCCAGTGAACTCTCAGGATCACCCTGAACGCACGGCGGTTCCTAATCCTCAGTACGCGGTCTGGGCTCTGATTACACACAGTCTATATATTCTAATCTCTCGGTAAGATTATCTGACATGACATTTCTGCAGAATATTCCGTCATTTATTCGTTAGAGCTGATTTGATGCTTGTGTGCCGTTCCCTAATCCCTGATATAAACAGCCGATTAATAAATGGCAGAGTCTCAGGAAAAACAATTCTGCGATTCATCCGGAAAGAAGAAGATTTCTTATTTTTTATCCGTTATTCCAAGTGATGGGAGCAGAACAAAGAAAGGGATTATAACCCCCATCAACCAATCACACTTCAAGATCTACTGGGTATATATCTACACATTTACATATACCTTCCTCCCTCCCTCCCTCCCTCCCTCCCTCCCCTCCCTCCCCTTCCTTCCTTCCTTCCTTCCTTCCTTCCTTCCCCTTCCTTCCTTCCCCTTCCTCCCTTACTTCCTTCCTTCCTTCCCCTTCCTCCCTTCCTTCCTTCCTTCCCCTTCCTCCCCTTCCTTCCTTCCTTCCTCCCTCCTTCCCTCCTTCCTTCCTTCCCTTCCTCCCTCCCTCCTTCCTTCCTTCCCCTTCCTTCCTTCCTTCCTTCCTTCCCTTCCTTCCTTCCTTCCCTCCTTCCCCTTCCTCCCTTCCTTCCTTCCTTCCCTCCTTCCTTCCTTCCTTCCCCTTCCCTCCTTCCTTCCTTCCTTCCTTCCTTCCTTCCTCCCTTCCCTCCTTCCTTCCTTCCTTCCCTCCTTCCTCCTTCCTTCATTTCCTTCCTCCCTTCCTGGCTTCCTTCCTTCCTTCCTTCCTTCCTTCCTTCTGCCCCCCTCCCTTCCTTCCTTACTTTTCTTTCTTACTTCTCTCTCTCTCTCTCTCTCTCTCTCTCTCTCTCTCTCTCACTCTCTCTCTCTTCTCTTCCCTTTCTTTCTTTCTTTCTCTTTTCTTTCTTTTCTTTCTTTTCTTTTTCTTTCTTTCTTTTCTTCCTTATTTTTTTTCTCTAGCTTCCTTTCCTTTTCCTTTCGTTATCTTCCTTCCTTCCTTCCTTTCCTTTCCTCCGTTATCTTTCTTCCTTCCTTCCCCTTCCTTCCTTTCTTGCTTTCTTTTCCTTTCCTCCTTCCTTTTGTTATCTCCTTCCTTCCTTCCTTCCCTTCCTTCCTTCCTTCCTCCTTGTTTCTCTCTCTCCCTCTCCCTCCCTCTCCCTCTCTCTCTCCCCCCCCTCCCTCTCTCCCTCCCTCTCTCCCCCTCTTCCCCTCTCTCCTCCCTCTCTCTCCCTCTCTCCCCCCTCTCTCTCCCCCCTCTCTCCCCCTCTCCCCCCCTCTCTCCCCTCTCCCCACCGCTCCCTCCCTCTCTCCCCCTCCCCCTCCCTCTCCCCCCCTCTCCCCCCCCCGCTCCCTCCCTCTCTCTCCCTCTCTCTCCCCTGTACCCCCCCCCCCTCTCTCTCTCCCTCTCTCTTCTCTCCCCCCTCCCCCTCCTTCTCCTCTCTCTCCCTCTCTCCTACCTCCCTCCTTCCCTCCTCCCTCTCTCCCCCCTCCCTCCTTCCCTCCTCTCTCTCTCCCCCTCTCTCCTCTCCCTCTCTCTCCCTCTCTCTTTCTTTCCCAAAATAATTGTGCTTGTGTGCGTTAAAATTCATTAGAGCAAATTTGTTTGCCTAAAAATATAGATTTAATAGAGATGCAAGAGTTACACAAATAGTGTGCAACATAAAACATTGATACTGCTGTTTCTTTCTTTCTTTCTTTCTTTCTTTTCACTAATTGGCCAATCAGTGATCACATGATCGGGACCTCGTACAGAGGTCCCATCCGACGACTGGTGTTCCACTGTGTCCGGAGGACACAGCGGGCATTGGATTGCGGTGCCGTGTGCTCCCAGGGAGCGCGCACAGCTAGAAAAGGCGGGTGCCGTTTATAAAACAGCAGGTGGACAGCAAGTGGTTAATAGAGATGCAAGAGTTACACAAATAGTGTGCAACATAGAAAATTGATACTGCTATTTATTTTAAAAATCCTTTACTTTCAGAAAATATATAGTATTCTGGGGGGGAGGGAATATTTATGGATAAGAATACATATTTTAATGTGCAAAAAAAAAAAGAGAAACAAATTGCTCTAGAAAGGAATTAGCTAAAAATTCTGCAGCAATATATAAATACAGTATATTACCCAAAGTATTGTCCCCACCCTCCAAATCATGTGATTCAGGTGTTCCAATCCCCTCCAAATCATGTGATTCAGGTGTTCCAATCCCCTCCCAATCATGTGATTCAGGTGTTCCAATCCCCTCCATATCATGTGATTCAGGTGTTCCAATCCCCTCCAAATCATGTGATTCAGGTGTTCCAATCCCCTCCATGGACACAGGTGTATACAATCAAGCCCCTAGGCATGCAGACGGCTTCTACAAACATTGGTGAAAGAATGGGTCGCTCTCAGGAGCTCAGTGACTCCAAGCGTGGTCCCATGATAGGTGGCCACCTGGGCAATAAGTCCATCCATGACATTTCCTGGCTACTAAATATTCCACGCTCAACTGTTAGTGGGATTATAACAAAGTGGAAGCAACTGGGAACAACAGCAACTCAGCCACCAAGTGGTAGGCCACGTCACATGACAGGGCGGGGTCAGCGCATGCTGAAGCACACAGTGCGCAGAAGTCACCAACTGTCTGCAGAGTCAATAGCTAAAGACCTCCAAAACTTGGTGTGGCCTTCAGATGAGCACAACAACAGTGCGTAGAGAGCTTCATGGAATGGGTTTCCATGGCCGAGCAGCTGCATCCAAGCATTCCATCACCAAGTGCAATACAAAGTGTCAGATGCCGTGGTGTAAAGCACGCCACCACTGGACTCTAGAGTAGTGGAGATGTGTTCTCTGGAGTGACCAATCATGCTTCTCTGTCTGGAAATCCGATGGACGTGTCTTGGTTTGGCGGTTGCCAGGAGAACGGTACTTGCCTGACTGCATTGTGCCAAGTGTAGAGTTTGGTGGAGGGGGGATTATGGTGTGAGGTTGTTTTTCAGGGGTTGGGCTTGGCCCCCTAGTTCCTCTTAAGGTGACGTTTTGGACAATTTCTGCTCTCAACTTTGTGCGAAGAGTTTGGGGATGGTCCCTTCTTGTTCCAACATGACTGTTCACCAGTGCACAAAGCAAGGTCCATAAAGACATGGAGGAGCCAGTTTGGGGTGGAGGAACTTGACTGTCCTGCACAGAGTCCTGACCTCAACCCCATAGAACACCTTTGGGATGAATTAGAGTAGAGACTGTGAGCCAGGCCTCCTCCCCCGACATTAGTGCCTGACCTGACAAATATGCTTCTGGAAGAATGGTCCAACCTTCCCATAGACACCCTCCTAAACCTTGTGGACGGCCTTCCCAGAAGAGTTGAAGCTGTTATAGGTGCAAAGGGCGGGGGGTCAACTCAATATTGAACCCTACGGACTAAGACTGGGGGGCCATTAAAGGTCATGTGCATGGAAAGGGCGGGGCCAACTCAATATTGAACCCTACGGACCAAGACTGGGGGGCCATTAAAGGTCATGTGCGTGGAAAGGCAGGCGGCCCAATACTTTTGTCAATATAGTGTGTATATATATATATTGAGGAGGAACCGATATTTGGATTAGGGAATATTTTACTTGTCAACTGTCATTTGTTATATATTATCATATGTCCTTGTGGTTTACGCTATGTGGGGGAGACTACCAGAAGGTCATATTGCCCGATATAAATATTCCATCAGAGATAAAATGCTACAGTTACCTTTAGGCATTTTGTAGAGAAGGGACACATGGAATCACAGTTTAAATTGATGGTTATAGATGGTAAAAAAAAGAACAAATGAGGGGAAACCGTGAGTTGCTGCTAAAACGATTGGAAGTACAAAGGATACATCGACTGGATACTTTATTCCCGGGGGATTGAATTCTGATTTTGATTTGCATTTATTTTTATAACCGTATGTGTCTGTGTTTGCTTTGATGTTTTTGGGGTATATGACAAAGAATATGAAGGGGTCAACTATTACTATGCTAATTCCATGGTTTCCAGCTGCATTTTTTATATATATATATATAATGGAATGGGTTACAAGACCAACAGCTAGAAGCTTGGTGAGAAGGAGACAACCATTGGAGCGATCATTCGCAAAGAAATACAAAATAACCATCAATTGCCCTCGGTCAGGAGCTCCGTGCAAGATTTCACCTCATGGGGTAAGGATGATCATGAGAAAAGTGAGGGATCAGCCCAGAACTTCACGGGAGGAGCTTGTGAATGGTCTCCAGGCAGTTGGGACCACAGTCACCAAACAAACCATTGGTAACACAATGCACCACCATGGATTTAAATCCTGCAGTGCCCGCAAGGTCCCCCTACTCAAGAAGACACGTACAGTCCCATCTGAAGTTTGTCAATGAACATCTAAATGATTCAGAGAAGAATTGGGAGAAAGGGCTGCGGTCAGATGAGACCAAAATTGAGCTCTTGACTATGACCCTAAGGACACCATCCCGACAGTCAAGCACGGAGGTGGAAACATTATGCTTTGGGGCTGTTTCTCTACTTAATAAACTTAATAAACTACACTCCCTCGGCATCAGAGACTCCGCTCTCTCCTGGCTCTCCTCCTATCTATCCCAAAGCTCCTTCAGCGTTACCTATAACACCACCACCTCCCCCCTCTCTCCCCCTCTCTCCATCACTACTAGCCGCCAACCCTCTATTGTTGGAGTCCCCCAAGGCTCTGTCCTCGGACCCCTTCTCTTCTCCATCTACACCTCCTCCCTCGGCAAACTGATATACTCCCACGGCTTCAACTATCACCTCTACGCCGATGACACACAAATTTACCTCTCCACCCCCCACCTCACCCCTTCAGTCTCCGCCCGTATCACCCACCTACTGAACGACATATCAGACTGGATGTTGCTCCATTTCCTCAAACTGAATCTCTCCAAAACCGAGCTCCTAATCTTCCCCCCAGCCCGCGCCCCTCCCCACCCTCTCCATCATGACCAACAATGCCACCATCAGCCCCGCCCCGCAAGCCAAAGTCCTAGGTGTCACTCTAGACTCCAACCTGTCCCTCCAACCCCATGTCCAATCGTTGGCTAACTCCAGATACTACTAAACTACTCGTTCCCTCCCTCATCATCTCACGCCTGGACTACTGCAAACTCATGCAGGCTCCACCTCCGCAACGTCTCCAAAATACGTTCGTTCCTAACTCCAGATACTACTAAACTACTCGTTCGAATGGTCTCCCTCATCATCTAATGGGCACGCCTGGACTACTGCGTTAAACTCCTATCACCGGCCTCCCTCATCACAGGCTATCCCCGCTTCAGTCTATCCTGAACTCAGCAGCCAAAAGAAACGTTGTACCCAAGGGTGGACTGACAACTCATGGGGCCCCCGGGCAATAGGGCATCATGGGGCCCCTGTTTCCTTCCCCACACTCCAAAAAAAAGCCTATAAAAGGTACCAGGGGCATTTCATGCGGCCCCTACTGACCCCGGGCCCTCGGGCAGTGCCCGAGTGCTCGAATGGTCAGTCCGCCCCTGGTTGTACTACATGTTCTTGATGTGAAATAATTGATTAATGGGCTTTGTGATTATATATAAACATGTATTGTGAAATGTTATTCCAGCTATGTTCCAGCCGTTAAGCACTTTGCCTGAAACTGTTGCATTTTTTTGGGAACATAATATGCAGTTTTTGCAATGTTTGGAACTTTTTTGATTTTCAATAAATTTCAAGTACAGCAATCCCTGTTTGTATAATATATATTACAGTTGCAAGAAAAAGTATGTGAACCCCTTTGGATTACGTGGAGTTTTGCATGAATTGGGCATAAAATGTGCTCTGAACGTCATCTGTCACAACAATTGCATACTACACAAACATTTTTGCCACGGGGCACATAACATGTAAAATCACAGTGCAGGGAGAAAAAGTATTTTTGACTTAACAATGGTTGTTTGCAGAACATTTCCTTTTTGACCTTTTAAATAAATTTCACAAAACAAGTGTAGCAATACATGTCTGGTGTGCTTAAAGTCATGCCACAGCATGTTTGTTGATCAGGATCCAGAAGGCGTATGCAGCCATGAATTTACTTATATCATTGTCCTGTTATATTCTCTAGCTTCAGTTGGCGGACAGATGGTTGTGTGGCTTGATAAACTCTGGAATTCATTTTCCCATCAATGACAACAATTCCAGGCCCTCAAACGATGGCAGTGGGGATGAGGTTGATGTTGGTGGGCTGCTCACACATAGTGTTGTGGTGTTCTTAAAGGTTTCATCTGTCCACAGTATATTCTGCCAGAGTGCTGTGGAACAAAGGTGCTCTTTTGCAAACTTTGCTGCAATATTCTTTTTTGGACAGCAATGGCTTTCCGTGGTGTCCTTACTCCATTCTTGGTTTTCCTTATTGTAGATGTGGTTATGTGCCAGAGATTTCTGTAGGTCTTTAGCTGACACTCTGGGATTCTTCTTTACCTCATGCAGCATTCTGTGCTGTGCTCTTGCAGTCATTTTTACAGGACGACCACGCCTAGGGAGAGTAGCAACAGTGATAAATCCATTTGTAGACAGTCTGTCTTACCGTGGACACATGAACATCAAGGCTTTTGGAGATACTTTTGTAACCCTTTCCAGCTTCATGCAAGTCAACAATTCTTGATCGTAGGTCTTCTGACAGCTCTTTTCTGCGAGGATGGTTCACATCAGATTGAAACCAGTAAACCCAAAACAGGTGTGTGTTTTTTAAGGGCAGGACAGCTGTCAGCAACACATCCAATATCATCACACATTGGAGAGGTTGGCTCACTCCTGGAGCTCTGGGAGAAGTCATTAAGCTAGGGCCTCACATACTTTTTCCTCCCTGCACACATGTTATGTGCCCATGGCAACATCTAATGTTTGTGTAGAGTTCACTGGATTGGGCTTAGATGACGTTCAGAGCACATTTTACCCCATGCAAAAGTCCACGTAATAGGTTCACATACTTTTTCTTGCAAATCAGGACAGTGTGGCGATCTATCACCCTCTCAACCGGAGGAAAGTTTCACTTTCCTCCTTTTGTTTTTGGATCTGGAGCCAGGCTGGGACCAGGTTTTGGGAATGGCCAGGATACTGATTGCACAGGGTCAGCCCTTTTCATAGAGTCAGGACCAGGGTTTGAAGTCCACCCCGGCATAGGAATCAGGAGGGCTCCAACCTGGCAGGCAGAGGGTCACTGCCTTGAAGTCAGGGGGCTTCACCTAGGAGAGGTGGAAGCCAAAAGCAGCAAGGGGCTGCTCGGGAGTAGCTGTGTGCTAGTGGCTAGCTGTGTGCGAGAGCCATAATTTGGGAAAAGTCTGCAGGAGACAGACGTAAGCCTGAAGAGAAAGGCCAGAGGAAGATTGTTTATATCTGAGAGAGCCAGGAGGCTGAATCTTTTTGTTTATATTGATGTTGGATACCCCTGTGTGGGAAACCTCTTATGTTATTGAACTGTCATTTAAATAAAAGTGGGCTGAAACAGCCCTGAAAAATAAGCGAGTTGCTCTGTGCGTTACAAAAGCTCTACCACTCTACCACTGAAAAAAAGCGAGTTCCCACAATATATATATATATATATATAAATATATATATATTTATTTATTTTTATTTATTTTTTTTAAGAAAAGGTAAAAACAAAAGAAAATCTATTTTCTGCAAGATGTGGTTACGGGGTAGTGGTTTTTAAATATACATATAAATTTTAAGTGCAGCAATCCCTGTTTGGATATACTGTGTGTATGTATGTGTGTATATATATATATATATATATATATATAACTATGATTTTTATTATACAGGGTTTATATAGTTCCCACAGTTTTCCCTGCGATTTACAATATATATATATATATATATATATATATATATATATATATATATATATATTGTAAATCGCAGGGAAAACTGTGGGAACTATATAAACCCTGTATAATAA